CTGCCTTGCCTTGCTTGTGCCCCGGCCTCAGGGAAGGGAGGGTGGCTGTTCTCCACTGTGTTGCTTCATACCCACATTTTCACTCTCTGTCCCTGCCTGGCTGCTCCTCTTCCTGGGCCAGCACATACAGCTGTCTTTGCCCTGCTCTCTTTCTCTTTGCAGAGCTCTTCCTCACTTGCTCACAGAGTCTCTGAGGGATATCCGGTCTACAGGGTGTTCCAGTGGAGTTCTAGAACATGCCCTCGGCCATGGGCTGGAGATGGTTTCTGGTGGGAGGTGGCTCTGGGACAGCCTGAAAGCCATAGCTGTACACTATTTTTACCAAGCTCATCAGGAGGTGCTTGGGAGGCTTCCAAGGCCTGAAACAGGTCCCCTTCCCTGAGGGACACAGGTTCGGAAGTGAAGCCTGCCTCTGTCTCGAGCATTAGAAATTGCGACTTTCCTGTGGGCAAACAATAGCACCAGTCTTCTTAGGGACACAGGCCCAGGCAGAAAAGAAGCTCTTGTTCCACCTTTGCCCCACACCCAGCTCCCTGGAGGACCTGGTAGTTTTCCACATTCTTTTACTCCCATTTGTGGGGCTCTGGAGCCTGGCCAGGTATCTCTCCATGGGAACCAGAACACAAGGCATCGTAGGCCCCTAAACCTCTCCAACAACTGCATGTGGCTGTTCCTAGTGCGAAACGCCAGGCACGCTCACCTTCCCCTCCTCGTTCCCTGGAGAGTGGGAGTTGAGGGCCTGATCGCTCTCTTCTTCACCACCTCAACCCCAGGGACCACAGGAGGAACTCCAAATCTAACCTGAGCTGGCAGGAGGGGCGGCACAGGGGCCTCCTAAGGATGGTGCAGGTGGGAGCGAGAGCTGAGGTAGGGGGGAGGAAGGAATACTTCCGGGAGATAACAGATTTGAATTGCACCTCAAAACCCAAAAGGAGGATGCATTGTTGGGGCAGGGAAGATAAAAATAAGCGAAGTGGAAAACCGAGGATTTGAATTTAGACAGATCTGGGTTCACATTTCAGCTCCATCTCAAGCTGTGAAATCTTAGGCAACTTCTGGAGTCCTCTGTTTCCTCCTCCACGCTCCACAATGGTGATTATTCCATCGTGTTGTTGCAGCATTCAATGAAATAATGTACATAAGAAACTAACCAGCCAGGTGCTGTGGCTCATGCCTGCAATCCCAACACTTTGGGAGGCCAAGGTGGGAGAACTGCTTGAGGCTAGGAGTTTAAGACCAGTCTGGCAACATTGCAAGACCTTACCTCCACCAAAAATCTAAAACTTAGCTGTGTGCAGTGTTAAATGCCTATGGTTCCAGCTACTTGGGAGGCTGAGGATGCAGTCTGAGGTTGTAGTGAGCTATGATCGCACCACTGCACTCGATCCTGGGCAACGAGTGAGACTTTGCCTCGAAAGAAAGAAAGAAAGAGAGAGAGAAAGAAACTTACCAAGTTTTCTGGCATATATTAGGCACCCAGTAAATGGTTGCTATTATTGTTATCACTATGTTGGCGAGAGAGAGTCAAGAAGTGGGAATTGAAGAGCAGACTTTCTTGTTTGTAGGGACAGGCAACCACAGTGAGGAGGGGAAGAAATCCCCAGACAGGGGTCTCTACCAGAAGCCATCTGTGATCTCATAAGAGCCTTGCCTTACCACTCTGGTGCCGTCTTGTTGACTCAGATACAGGCTTTGATTTCCTTGGAGCGTCTCAGTTTACAACAGCAATAAGCAGCATCTTGGAAAATTAGAGTCACAGAGACTGGGCAGAGTCTCTCTCACTGTCAGATAAAGGGGACCCTGTTCCGATTCCCATCAGTGACAAGGGATGACGCTCAGGCTGCCACTGAGCATGAGGGCCAGGCCAGAAGGAACAATGGTTGGGCAGGTGCCAAGGTCTTGGGAAAAAATTGAGGTCCCAAGAGAGGAACCAGAGCTGCCCCAGTGGGTACTGCCTTCCCTTTTGTGCCTCTTACTTTTTGCTCCCAGCCCTCCTTTCTTTTTATCTTTTCTTTTCTTTTTTTTGAGAAGGAGTCTTAATCTGTCACCCAGGCTGGAGTGCGGTGGCACGATCTCAGCTCACTGCAACCTCTGCCTCCTGGGTTCAAACAATTCTCCTGCCTCAGTCTCTTGAGTAGCTGCGATTACAGGCACGCACCACCACGCCCAGCTAATTTTTTTGTATTTTTAGTAGAGACAGGGTTTCACCATGTTGGTCAGGGTGGTCTTGAACTCTTCACCTCATGATCTGCCCAACTAGGCCTCCCAAAGTGCTGGAATTACAGGCGTAAGCCACCAAGCCCAGTCCCCAGTTTCTTTTCTTTTCTTTTTTTTTTTTTTTTTAATAGAGATGGTGTCTCACTACATTGCCCAGGCTGGTCTTGAACTCCTGGCCTCAAGTAACCCCACCTCAGCCTCCCAAAGTGCTGGGATTACAGACGTGAGCCACCACAGCTGCTTCCCCTGCTGACGTCTAATCCCTCCAACCCCTGTCTCTGACAAGGAGGGTGGGACCAAGCCGAGACATGTTAGGGGAGGTGGTGATGATACCACAGACATTGGAAGTCTGCTCCCAGGGTGCTGGTTACAGTATTGGGCTTCCTCCTACATCACTAGGTCTGGGGAACTCATAAAAGCTTAGAGGGCCAGGAAAATGGGGTAGCAGTCTTAAAATCCTGAGAAGTGAGAATTCACAGCTGTCGGTTTCACCTCACCCCACTTCTTTTCTTCAACTCCAGTTCTCTGTTTCCTCTTTTTCTTCTCACTCTCTCTGTTCCATTCTCTTTTTTCTGCTTCTTCCTCAGACTGGCTTTGAAAGTTTTCGCTTCTGTTTCCAAACCCCCTTCACATACAGAAGACTCTCTGTTTCTCTTGTCTCCTCATTTGTGTCTCTGGTTGCCTTACCCACAGAAGGGATCCCTGCCTTCTCTGATAGAGGCTTAAAAGAGAGCAAAGCCCCAGGGCTGGGGTAGCTCAGCCTCAGGGGACCATGGGGGAAAGGCCTGGGCCACATGGAGATGGAAGCGTGAGCCAGCTCATGACTGCATAAAGACTGCGGTACTGATTGGGCTCTGGTGACTCACCACTCAACAGAGGGGTCTGGGAGAGTGATGTCACTGTTGACCCTGGAGCTGCCACATCACTGCCCTGAGACCTTTTCTTGCCTTGCTGGCTTCTTTTTGCCTCCCTTTATAGGGCAGGGCAAGGAAAGCAAGTTTCACCTTTGATGACATTTAGAACCACAATGTGGTTTACTAAAACCGAGAATTTCCTTCCCACTTCTTCACCTCCTCCTCCTCCTCCTCCTCCTCTGCCTGTCTTGGGTGGGGGGTATACTCATGTGCACGTGGGCATTCTCTGTCTCACACATGTGTGCACATTTCTTAGATGTATGTACAGCTCACGTGCATACGCGCGCACACACACACACATACTCACACATACTCCCACCTGCCATCTGTTTCCGTCAGTCAGGGGATCACATAAACTGGGCCTCCAAACTGTGCAGGGAGACTGGAAGGGGCTGATTCTCCCTGAGGGGGACCTGAGGAAGAAGGCCTGTGTGCTCTTGTCTGCTGGCATCTCGATGCCATGTGCCTCTTCACTTCAGAGGCTGCACCCTTGAGCCCTAATAAGCCCAGCTTTTGGGTTAGGCATGTGAGTCCTTGAGAAGGTGCACTTCCAATTTCATAATCGGAGGAAAACTGGGGTGGAGTTGGGTTGTGGGTAGGGACGGTGGGGATATATAGAGGAAGACAATTCGGATAGGCCAGACACTAGAAACTGATCCAAGACAAATGTCATCATTGTCCCCTTTCCCACCCTCCCCCAAATTAGCTGTATCTTTCTTTCCCTCTACATTTTGAGAACAGAGAAAGTCGAATCTCACTTGGTAAGCAAGTCCCAGGAATCTAGCTTAAGCTGGAACAGAGGAAGAGTTCCCAACATGAGGCTGAATATTAATGCTATGTAAATCACATGCAAATGTATTGAAAACAACAATAAATAGACAGTGGGTCTCGAAAAAGGAACAATTAGACTGAGGTGAAGGCAGTGGAGGAGCCACAGCCTAGTAACGGGGTGACTTCTGGAGTCTGAGTGCAGACTGGCCCACTCCTGTCCTCTAGAGATCCTGGCCTATCTGTGGTTGGTAGACATGGTTTGTTTGGGCCATAAGCAACTAACCAACAAGTCCTTATCAAATGTATACTTGGCCTGGTGGCGGAGATGGATTTTCTGTGAAGCTGATGAAGCTTGGATGGCAGTGCTCCTCATTTATACAGGCCCCTTCCAAAACCTGCACTTAATTCATGTTCATAATCTTGTACTTTGTTTCTTAAAGAGGGCTCCCAGGCCAGGCATGGTGGCTCACACCTGTAATTCCAGCTTTTGGGGAGGCCAAGGTGGGCAGATCACCTGAGGTCAGGAGTTTGAGATCAGCGTGGCCATCATGGTGAAACTCCGTGTCTACTAAAAATACAAAAAATTAGCCGGGTGTGGTGGCGGGCCTCTGTAATCCCAGCTACTTTGGAGGCTGAGACAGGAGAATCGCTTGAACAAGGAGGTGGAGGTTGCAGTGAGGTGAATGCTCTGCACTCCAGCCTGGGTGACAGAGCAAGACTTCATCTCAAAAAACAAACAAACAAAAAACAAGAGGGCTCCCTAAATTGTACAAGCTTTAGGCCCCACAAAACCTGGGTTCACCTCTGCAGTGACGGGGATAATTATGTAAAATGCTGACATGCTGTCTGTTCTTGGTTTAATTAGCAGCCTCCTTTGAAATAATCTCTGTCAGAGATGTGTCTGTGTGCACAGCCTTATGTGCCCCTTTGCCTAGGTGGAGGGGGACCCCATGGTTGCTCCTGTCTCCAAGACACCACAGTTTTCTGCCTTGAGACTGGGGTAAGAAGAGGGCAAAAGAAACTGCTTTGTTTCCAAAGGGAATGTGGCTGAGAACCCAAGGAACAAGTACCTGATAATAAATAATAAAAATACCTTACCTTCGTAAAGCCTTTAACAGTTTCCAAAGGGAATGTGCCATTTGATCTTCACAATAACCCTGAAGCAGGAAGGAAAGATATGGAGATTTGTTACAGACAAGTAAACTGAGGCTCAGAGAGATCTAATTACAGTCATAATCGCTCAAAAGCACAAAGCTGTTGTATCAACAGGAACAATCACATATGTTCACTCATTTAATCTGCACAAGAACTCTATAAGGTGGATATAACTATTATCCTCATTTTAGAAACAGGGAAACTCCACAGAGAGGCTAGGTCACTTGCACTAGCCAAACTAGAGTAGCCCAGCCAAGATCTGAACACAGTCTGGTGGCCAAGTCCTTGCTCTCAATCGGCACACCACTCCAATGCCTGTGCACAGTCATGGGCTAGACTTCAAGTCCTGACCTGTCCGACCCCTTTCTCATCACCACTAAGCACTAACACATCCCTCTGAACCAGGAAATCAAAGCCTAGAGGGAGAGGCAGGAGACTGGTGGGAAGTCCAGGTAACTGACCCTAAGGATCAGGGTCTAGTCATGGAAATGGCCCCTCAGGACAGATGAGTACCAGTGTTCCTCCTGGACTGAGAGTGCAAGGCAGGAGGTGAGCCAGCAGGCACCAGCCCACCACGAGCCTGGGGAGACTTCTTAAAGAAGCTGGAATGTGTTGCCTTTCAGGAACCAATGTTTAACCACTTCATCCCACTCCTTACTTACAGGCAAGTAAACTGAGGCTTAGACACATCTAATTACAATAATATGAGCTCATGGTCAAGTGTGGTGGACTATGCCTATAATCCCAGCACTTTGGGAGGCTGAGGCGGGAAGATTACTTGAGGTCAGTTGTTTGAGACAAGCTTGACCAACACAGTGAAATCCCATCTCTACTAAAAACACAAAAATTAGCCAGGTGTGGTGATGCACACCTGTAGTCCCAGCTACTCGGGAGGCTGAGGCAGGAGAATCGCTTGAACGCAGGAGGCAGAGGTTGTGGTTAGCCAAGATCGTGCCACTGCACTCCAGCCTGGGAGACTGAGCGAGACTCTGTCTCAAAAATATATAATAATAATAATATCTCATGAGCACAAAGCTACTGTATCAGCAAGGACAATCCCCACTTCCCAGACAAACAAGATCAAGATTATGGTCAGAGGTGTATTTAGGGAGATTACCATGGCAACGAGGTAAAGGATGATGGACTAGGAGTAGGGAGGTGGCACTAGAAGGAGACTGGTTAGGAGATGGTGGCAGAAATCCAGGTAAGAAGGGATGAGGCCCCACATGAAGGAAGGCAGTGGCTGTGAGGCTGTGGTGTAGCGGAGACGCTGCAGGGGAGAACGAATGAAGGGAGGACAGGGTGTCTTCTCCAATCAACACAGCCCACGTGCAGGCCCTAGTGGAAGAGGCGGGGTGCGGTAGAGAGTGGGAAGTGCTGGCGGTGGGGTGGAGCGGGGAGGGGCAGGCAATAAACACTTTGGCCTGCAGGATGAGCAGCCCCTGGAAGCTGCCAGAGTTGCTAACCTCCCGTCTTCCTGCTCTCCCCCAGTCAGGCCAGCCACCGCCACCAGGTTGTGTGGTGTGTGTGTGGTGACGGGGCGGGGAGAAGGGAGAAGTGTCAGCCCTGGGCTCTGGGGCCACATCACAGGGAGGTGAACTATGGGGAGCATCAGGGAAGCGTGATTTAGAGTCTCATTCCCACTGCCCTTCTCTACGCTGCAAGGACAGTTCAATGTAATGTATAATTACCGCTGCCCCACGAGGCTGCACTGTACTCAGAGCTCCCACCTTCCTCCGCTCCCTCCTGCCTGCCTTCAGACTATAAATCAGTTTTCAATCCTGAATGCTACCTGTAAATGTTCGCGCTCGGGATCCTCGTCTCATATTCCTGTGTCCCTGGGGGTAGCTCAGGCTGTGAGTCGCCTGCTTCCCCAAGTCCTGACTCTGACATCCCAGTCCCTGATTGATGGTGGGAGGAGCAGCAGCGGGGAAACTGGAGTTGGCTCTACGATCTCTGGATTCCTGGCTTAGGGAGAGGGGTGGGTGGCTCTGCATCTACCTGTCTCAGCCAGGCCTGAACTGGACACTCCCCAGTGTACAGAACTGTGAACATGCTCCGGACCAATGGATGGGAAGGCATTGAAACTGACCCCTCCCCCAAAATGGCAGCTTCTTCCCAGCCCTGTCAGATGTGCCAGAGCAGGCAGGTGGGCACATTCACTGGAGTGTCCAAAAGACAGTGCCCTCCCCATATGCTGATCTGGGGATGGAGAGGAGCAGCCACGGCTTTCCCGAGCTGGGATGGGAAATCCTACGATGTACTTTTGAGGTGATAAAAGGACAAATCAAGAAAGAAATTCGCCAGGCACGGTGGCTCATGCCTATACTTCCAGCACTTTGGGAGGCCGAGACAGGCAGATTACCTGAGGTCAAGAGTTAAAGACCAGCCTGGCCAACATGGTGAAACCCCATCTCTACTAAAAATACAAAAATTAGCTGGGCGTGGTGCCACGTGCCTGTAATCTCAGCTAATTGGGAGGCTGAGGCAGGAGAATCTCCTGAACCCCAGAGGAGGTTGCAGTGAGCTGAGATAGTGCCACTGCACTCCAGCCCGGCGACAGAGTGAGACTCTGTCTCAAAAAAAAAATAAAAAACCACAAAGAAGAAATAAATTATTATTTTTTTTTCTTTCTTCCTTTTTTTTTTTTTTTTTTGAGACAGTTGCCCAGGCTGGAGTGCAGTGGCGCAAAGATGGCTCCCTGCAGCTTCAGTTGCAGGTGTGTTATGTCACCACCATTTGCTGATCACCCCATCTGAAGAAGGTCCCCCTGCCCTGACCTATTACCTTCTATCTTAGCGCCCTGTTTGTTCACTTTATAGTACTAATTATCATTTATAATTCTATATTATCTGATGTCTTCATTTTTTGTGGATTTTCTTTCACTCCTGGACTGGAATCTCTGTGAAGGCAGGGGCCATGGCCTAATCAACACTGTATTCCAGGTACTTAGCATCAAGCTTCACACATCATGATATTAAATACTTTTTGAATGAACTGAATGCATGGAGACAGGGTGGGGTGGCTGCCAAAGAGAAAGTCTTGGAAGCTGAGGCTGACTCTGCCTGCTCCCTGATGGCAGCCCCATTGGCAGATAGCAGCTGGGCAGATTCCTCCTTGCCTAGGAGACCAGGCTCACCACCCCAGGGGAACTGAGAGGCCCCAGCCCCATTCCTCTCCCTCGGGAAAACTCCAGCTGTGACCCTTCCTAGCTGTCCCTGGAGCTGCCTTCCAAGGACCAGGGGTTAACGGCCAGTGTTTACCACTTCTCACTCCCCGACAAGAGCCCTGGGTCGCTGGAAACCTTGGCCCAGCCCAAACTGATACCTTGCCTGGGCTAGGGACTCAACCTGGGGACAGCAAAGAGGGACTGAGGAGGAAGCTCCTCCACGAATTATAATATCCATGAAGTGAATGCAAATGAACTGAAAGCACCTTTTGAATAAGCAGCTTTTACTGAGGGTGCTGCTCTAATCCCTAAATGGCTTTGCTGACAGGGAGGAGCTTCCCGGTGGTGGAAGGGGTGGGAAATGGAGATGCACTGTCTAGAGTCAGCTCTGGGGTGCACTTGTCCCTGCACTTTTAGATTCAGGACACGCTTCTTGTGGCTAATGGAACTCGGAGATATCTAACCTTGGCCTCCATATTCCACAGCCTGCCTCCGCCCCCAGAGTCTGCAGAGCCCGGCCTCTGTGTTTCCAGGGTGCTGGGTCTCAGTGTCGAGCGATTCTCTGGGACTGGAAGCAGCTGAGCGTGGCCAAAGTGATACAGCCCGGTGGGCTCTCTGGTGACCACGTGAGACATTCCTGGGCCTGTGTGTAAGGTGTGTGGCCGTGTGCGCCAGTGGGTTTGTGTCCATTTACACATCCCCTGGAAAGAAGTGTCACTGCGTTTGTGCCTCTGTGTCTGTCCCCGCCCCCAGGTCTCCATCCATCTGTATTCCTCCCCAGGTTGGGGGTGGGGGCTGGCCTCAGCTGGGGAGTCATGCTTTTTCAAGGACTAATGACTTTTATCAGAATGATAATGAACTGATGACACAGGGAGGCCCTGGGCTCTGGAGAGAAGTCAGAGAAGGAGCAATGGGGGACAGAGAGGAGGCTGGCAGCGTTTGGAGGCTAGAGGACTATGCCTCCCAGAAAGGCCAGCCAGCTCCATTCAGCTTTCAGAGGGGGAAGGAGACAGGGACAGAGGAACCCCAGGGGATGCTGGAAACACATTCTCCATTTCTCTTCCCTGTTCCACCTGCCTCTTCCTGAACCTGCCATTCCCTGCTTTGCCGTTCCTCTCGCCCTCCAAAAGCGCTCCCCTTGACTACGGGGCTGTGAGGCTAAAGCTGGCTATTCCCCTCTCCCAGACTTCTCCACCCTGGCCCTGACCCAAAGCCAGGTCCTGCCCAGAGACAGAAGAGGAAGCTGCTCCAAGAATTCTGAATGGGCAGAGTCACATAGGTGGCCTGAGCAGGTCTTGGAGCACCAGAAACTGGAAAGCTGCCCCTTGGGCATGGAGCTTGTCAAGGCTAATTGGCCTCAATATTCTTTCATAATAAGAGTAGAGCCAGTTGAGTTGTCAGTGGGGAAAAGAGAGGAGAAATCAGAAGTTCACAGAACATCCACGTTAGGGACTTGGGAGATCACAAAAGCAGGAACTGTTCTCATTGGTCAGAGAAGGTAAGTGATACCCACCTCCCAAAGGTTTCAGAGAGATTTCAGATAGAGCCTGCAGCGTGCAGGGGGTTCCCCTCACTGGAAAAGCTCCTTCACCTGCTGCAGAGAGGCAGCCACCTCTCCCCCAGCTGGAAAGCTCCAGCCCCTTTAGAATAGCCTGGCAGGCAGTGAATAATCAATAAATATCAGCTGTTGTGGATATTAGCATAATCTTCTGGTGGAAAGTCTCTGAGGGTAGTCCCTGCAGAGAGGGCTCAGCTTCTAGGACCCTGGGATTCAGAAGAAACAGGGGACAGTGCAAAGCAAGCATGGTATTAAGATACCCAGCTTGAAGACCAAGAGGGCAGGCATGCCCGCCCTCACTGTGGCCTCTCCTTCCCCTGCCCCAGTCTCTCAGGGGCATCTTCCATTTGGGGCCGGCAGGGAGTCCTCCCTCTGTCCCAGGCAGGCCCAGTGACCTTTTGCTCAAGTCTGCAAATATATTCTTGTCTAGTCTTGGAAATGAAATTGTGCTCAACATTTGTATAGGGCTTTTCCATCACCCAGCCCTTTACAGACATTAGCTAATTGAATGGAGGAGGGGTAGAGAGGAGCTGGCCTCTGCAGTCAGGGACCCCAGGCCCTTTGGCCCTGGGCTCCAGTCTCACTCCTCCCTTCTTTCCTGCATGATGGGACTTACTCTAAAGAAGAGGCAACTCCTGAGGAATTGGCCACTGAGTCAGAAAGCAAGGGAAGCTGGGAGCTTGGTAATCTGTGGAATGGGTAAGGGTCTTCCTCAGGCCATCCTGTCCTACAGCCATACCCAGCAACTGGCTCAGTCTGAAAGTGCAGTTCTGTGTCTGTCATCAGTGGGTCGGACAAACACAGAGCTGTGTGGCCTGGTCTAGGGATGGGCCAAGCTCTCACCCCATCGGGGAGGCACAATTGTGGACAGCTGCTCCCAGCCTAGAGAGAAGCACAGAATCCTCTACCTGCCATGCTCTTCCTGGCCAGAATTGGAGGGGAGCCATCCAGTGTCAGCAGAGCGGCTTGCCCTGCCCCACCCCTCCGTCTCCACCCTCGTAGCCCCTGCCTGTGGCAGCTTGAGGCAGTGAGTAGAACTGCCCTCCAGGGCAAGCAAATCAACTCTCACCTGGGGAGGGATGGTAGGTGGGGGCAGGGAGACAGACCAGTTATCGAAACTAACATAAACATGGGGAGGAAATAGGCGATATTTCTAACTGAGACTGTGGGAGAAAGGAAAGGAAGAAGACTAGAAAGAGAGACGTGGGAAAAAAACATTTTCACGGGGTGCCCATAGTGTCAAAGATTTGAGGATTTCTTGGCACAGCCACAGGCAGCCCCATGTTGGATTCCCCGAGGCCTGAGAGAGCTGCCCCAGACCTCTGGGAGAGCCACCCTCCCATCCCACTGCCTGTTATCCCTCATACCCACAAGGGACGGCATCACGGCTGCCCACCTCACTGGCGTGGGCTTCTTCACGGAGCAGGTGGTACATGTTCTCCTCCCTGATTCCGTCAGAGACTGGAAGGTGGAGACTCACTCTCTTTCCGCGGCCTGGCTGCCCCCGGCTCACCCTGATCCCATCAGCCTTTTGGGAGCTGATTGGAGAATCAGCAATTCTAGAGACCCTGCCAGGTCCAGCAGAGGAAGACCTGACCTCCCTGTACCATAATTATCTGTCTCATAAAAAACAGGCATTGAACTTCATAAAACCAATGAGGGGTACAGGGCCAGGTCATGGGAGCAAGTAGGAATTTAGCTCTGGTGACAGTGGCAGTCAACTCCAAGGACAGAGCGGTGACAGCTCCCTCCTCTGAAGCCCAGCCCCAAAGGCCACCCAAACAAAGCTCCTGCAGATGCAACAGAAGAGGCTGAGGTCAGAACCAAGGAACGACTGGCTGGCTGGCAGGGGCAGGGAGCACTGGAGTGGTTTCTTCCCTTTATGACAAGCAGCCCAGCAGAGCCTGAGTCCTCCCTCCACAGCCCTCTCTGGTTCCAGAAAACCTCAGGAGCTTCCCGTCATGTTACCAAGGCAACTGCAGCACTGTAAGATTCACAGTGAGGATAGAGAGACTCGGACTGACAGGAAGCCCAGACAGAACGCCAAGGTGGAGGCACACGTCTGAGATGAGCAGGGAGGCAGGGGCTTTGGGCCAGAGCAAACAGCCCCTGCCTTTCTGTTTGGGCTGTTCCAGGATCTGTTTTGCTGCAGGCTGTGAGTTTGTTTTACACAGCCCAATCCCCCGTGGGTGAGAAAACAGCATCAAAGCTTCCTTCCCTGTCAGGTGGGGATGGAGTAGGGCAGAGGAGGGATCCTCCACAACTTCCCAGAATGGCAGATGCTACAGCTCCTGGCCCAGCCCATGAGCAAGGGTTCTCCTGCTTTCAAAGGCCAGTGGGACCCTCCTCCATCACCACCTGCTTGCTCTACCCTGGTCCCCTTGGGAGGCAGTCTTGCCAAGGGATCAGCTGCACAGGCTGCATTGGTTGGGATCAGAGGGAAGTGTGTTTGGCTCCTGGCTTGGTCATTTTCTAAGACTCCGTGACCTTGGTGAAGTCACTTCTTGCCCAGATTGTTTCCTTAGCTGAAAATGGGGATAATATGATGAATTCTTAGGATTTAATAATACCATATATGTCATGTGCTTGCAGCAAGCCTGGCACAGGGTCGATTCTTTTTTAAAAGCTGTTTCGGAGTCTCTCTGAGCCTACTCTGGCTTGGGAGGCTGCCTGACTTAAAAAATAATAATAGCTGGGCGCGGTGGCTCAAGCCTGTAATCCCAGCACTGTGGGAGGCCGAGGCGGGTGGATCACGAGGTCAAGAGATCGAGACCATCCTGGTCAACATGGTGAAACCCCGTCTCTACT